ACATCTTAAATGTGGACCCTAGTTCTACCACATCTTAAATCTGGTCCCTAGTTCTATCACATCTTAAATCTGGGCCCTAGTTCTACCACATCTTAAATGTGGACCCTAGTTCTACCACATCTTAAATCTGGTCCCTAGTTCTACCACATCTTAAATCTGGTCCTTAGTTCTACCACATCTTAAATCTGCTCCCTAGTTCTATCACATCTTAAATGTGGGCCCTAGTTCTAACACATCTTAAATCTGGTCCCTAGTTCTACCACATCTTAAATGTGGGCCCTAGTTCTACCACTCTTCAAGTCATTGAAGTAACCTCCATATTTAACAAAAAAGTACAGGTCTTCACCTTATACTTATCAAACAAAACTTCAAACAGCACATACAACATCCTGCAAGTATTATTTGATGTTATCTTAATTTTTAAAATGGCTTTTGAGATGCATTGGACAAGTTGTGTGTAAGTGAAAGGCTAGTATTAAAACAACTAAGATTTGTCACAAGTTGTTTTGTTTTCGTGACTGGATGAATTTCACTAGGTGAGTTCCATATTATTATTGTAAAACTTGGGATCTTTGTTATGCAGTGTTTACCGTAATAGTGTTCATAGTAGTACGGTCTGTGATATTTAAATTGTCTGGTGATAAAATTACAAGTTATTGGAAAAGCCTCGCAGAGAATAATAAAGAATATTCTAGTCAGGTTGACCAGTTGGTTATGGTGTGTCATGAATTTATGATGTCCCCTTTGTTTATTATGTAATTTTGTAGCCTTTATGTGGGGAATGGAGATGGGCAATTTAGAGTTTATCATCAGGATTTATATAGTAAAATCTTTATAAACAAATACAGAGAAACAGATTTCTTCCTGGTAATTTTACAGATGGGTACAGAAATTAATATTTATTACTCAAATACAAATTTCTTATGTATACTTCATTGTGTTTGGTTTGTAAAACCAGTAAGTTCCACATTTTTATAAAAAAGGAACCCCACAGTCATGATCTTTTATCTAATAAAACAAAAAGACAAAATTAGAACAATCTTATGGAAAACATTTCAAAAGAAATGTCACTGAAAGCGAGGCCAATCAGGATAGGACAACATAAAACATCAGGTTAGCTACTAAAACCGGCTGAGGACTACAGTTTTAAGCAGTGTCAGCCCAGGTAGACAGATGACATTTTTATCCAGTAAAGTTTTTGTCTGACTAAGTTTGGATAGTGAACTAGTGAGGTTCTGAGATTTAGACAATTCTTCATTATTATTTTATGACAAAACAAGCTTTGAAGTTTTCAGATATTCCATGTAGATTTATCACAGTTTTTATTTACACAGTGATGGTGTAAACTGTAATATGAGCTGACATTGGTCAACAAAGCTCATACCATGACCAGCTGTTAAGTACAATTTCAAGCTCTTATCTGTGTGTATGTCCTAACATAGATGTTTGATAAGTTTTGTAAAATGGAGTTATAAAAGTTGCTAAAAACCCTATCATCCAATTCTTAACACTTTCTTCATGATTAATTTCCACTTTATAGCTGTATGGTTGACCTACTTAGTCATTCAAGTTATTTACTTTAAACAATAATAACTTGTTTACAAAGTTTTTAGTATTTGTTCTTGCATTATACTTCTGATACTTGTTTATTTTTTTATAATATTTTCCTTTTGAAACATTTAAAGAAAACTGTAGATTATTTGGTCAAAAGTACAGTTCTTGGGTTTTACTTTTAGCTGTTTAAAGTTCTTTGGACATTAAATTCGTGACTGGCCAGAACATGTAAAATGAGTTTGAACAGTGAAAATTAAGCCTAAATTAATTCACTTGGATTATGTAAACTTGGAAAAAAGGCTTACCTCAAATGCGATAAGATTCGTTTGATAATAAGAGAAAAAGTTAAGTATGATTTTGTTGATAAAATGTTTAATCCTTCGATTGAGTGTTTAGCTATGGTGGAAAAAGAATTATTGGTTCTATTTATTGGAATATTTAATTTAAGAGCAGGAAGATTATTTCAAACTTTTACAAGACTGACGAGACCGTATTTGGAATTGGAGTACTGTTTGCAGTTATGTCGTTTAACTACAGGAGGCTTTTATCGTGTGTTTGTTTCCAAGTCTGATAAATAATTTGGTTGGTGAAAATATATACCTGCCTATTTCTCATTTGGAATGCTTGTATGGCCTAAAGACATGTTCCAAGAACATTCCTTTGATACTATATTTTTATTTTTATTTTCCTTCTCTACACATTTACGGGGAGTAACTGTAATTTTGACGTTCTAACTTCTATTTACAAACATGTTTCTGCCGTTCAAAGTCAGAGTGTGTACAAATCTTTTTTCTTTTTTTTTTAAAATAAACGTTGTCGCTGAAGAATACAAGAAAAAAAAGCAGTACAACGAGTTGTATCTTACGAATTTTGTAGTGATTGCAAAATGTATTATTCGTCCATCTTAAATATATGCACTTGTAGAGGTGTGGGGGTGGCAAAAGTATTTGTCTGCCAATCCCTCCCCTCCTCCTCCAAATTCTAATATTGAAACTACTGCCGGTAAAACTTAGAAGTAGTAGTTAGAAGTAGTATAGTTTATTACTTCTCAAGTATCGGCAAAGATTCAACTGTTAAGTTTATTGTGACAGCAGAATGTAGAACAACGGTATCTAAGTTATACTTATATGTTGTAGTGTATCTATCTAAAACATACTACTGTGTTTGTCTGTCTGGAACGTTTTTGCGCAAATTTCTCGATCACACACTACAAATTTCATATTATTAGAAATGCTTTTGGCCGAGAACGCCATGTTGAATATTAGATTTTCAATTCGAATCACCTTACGTGTTTTGTTGCTTGGTTAAGCTTTTCATTGTAACGTGTATGCTACACGATTGCGCAATGTCGTTGTCATCACGTGATGACTGGCTTCGATTTCAACTTTAATTTTTTAGTTGCAAACTATTTCACACAAACTACAGTTAACCCACGTGTAATATCCTAAAAAATTAAAATTATTCTAAATAAAATTTCTCTGGCTTTCTGGACTTATTTAGGTCTAAAATATACATACGCAGTTCGTTCAAAACCATATGCTTATCACTTTGTAAGCAGGTATTCAGACGTTTCTACATATTCAGCTAAATTCATCTTCATTACAACTTTACATTTACTTTACTTTCCAATAATGTAGCTTCCGTTCTTTTCATAAATTGCCATAAACACCTTTTAGCTACAGTTTCTTTACTACTGGTTTTATTATTCGTTTTTCCGAGTTTCTTTGTTTCAACTCATAAAACCGTGTCATACACTGAACATTCATAACTGTTTTATACTCTGTACACTATTATAAATACTATTACCATACTTTATTGTTAACTTTATAAGTTTTATTAAATAAAGTCAAGTACGTGTAGTTTTGTTAAATAAAGTAACGTCTACGTGAATTTGTTTGTGTGACGGCGTAAATTTTTTCAAATGTACCAGGATTTATTGATCTAACACAATGCCTGCAAGAAAGCGTAATGGCGTGCGTGAAAATGATAGATTACAGAAAATTCAAGCGAAGGTCATAAAAACTACCGCAAATATCTATATATCAAATGAATCGAACATGTTGAAGCCGTAGGAAGTTAGTTGTATGGGCGTACATAGCACCAAATTGACATTAAAATGGAAGAAAGGTAGTTTTGGTGGCTCTCGTGATTAGATTTCTGTAACGGTAAGCATATAAACGTGTTGATAGACATATAACCCGGATAATTAAAGATAATATACTGAGGAATTCAAATAGCGAGTCTCTAGGGGGGGGGTCGTTTAGGGGGCATGAAAATTCTAATAGTGAGAACCAAACTGAATTTAAAAAATAGAATTAGAAATAAGAAAGAGTGAACATGTTTTAACTTTATAATTTGCTTTCAGAGTAAGAGCAATAAATATGTAACGGAAAATGTTAATTCTTTAGTATGATTATACACTTGGACCAATACTCGAAGTGAGGACCAGAAAAGGCAAATCAGTCTCTGATTGAGTGGTTGTTGTGGTCAATGTAATGGGATTCGTATTATATTTAACACTTGTCACACATAGTCCTCCTCAATCGTGTGCGTGTCAAGGTTTGAGGAGTATTGACGTTCAGTTTTAGCACCAATAAAAACTGTTTCGTGTTTACCTATCAGCGTAGGACTGAATATGGTATACTTGTGAACATACGTAGTAGTGGAAAAAAGAGTTCATTGACGGATTTTAACATGCCATACGCCCATGATTAAATTATGGTAGAACCGGGTCACTGGATTCAATCGTTCACTTCAATTAACTAATGGTGAAGTGGCTATGATTGATACTAAATGTATTAGCACGTTTGTAAGCCAAGCAAGTTGTTGTCCGTGCATCAACTATACTATTTTTTACTACTTACACAATAAATATTAATTGCTCTAATATTGTGATAAGGCATCCTGAGGATGAAATTATCTTAGAATTTTTATTTGGAGTGATTTCGTTTTGAACTTAAGTTTACTGTTGAGGTATGTATGTTTACGATTTCTCGAATTTAAACAAATTTAGACTGTGGGTTAAAAGGAAAATTATGCAATTATAAATATAAATTCGGTATGAATTTTATTGTTATCAAATGGTTTTGCATTCAGGCCCAAACGTTATATAATGACATTTTTGGCGATCTAATTTTATCGAATGGTGCTACAGCATCACCACTGGTCATGACACAAGAGGATTGAAGTTTGGTACATGCTGTCTGCAGTTTCGAAGAGGAAAAAAAAATGTGTACAAAAAACATTTTGTTTTAGGCTTAGAAAAATTGTTCATTGGCCTACACATTTCTATAATGAAAAAAATGAAGAAAGTTATCACAATATCATGCACAGTAGATGATATTTTGATAAGAAATTTTAAAGAAACAAAATTGCATTCTTAGAGTATCTCGGTACAAGTTTAAGTCGTTAATTCTATATTATTGGCTGAAATGGCTACAGGCAGCATTTAGTAATGACCACATTATGTCATTAATGGTGCTTGCTTGTTGTTGCCCATGAATAGTATTGCAAATCATTGTTCAGTCAATTAGCCAGTACTTCATATAAGTTTTAGCTGTCCCATGTATCCATTGTAGTGTTTATTTGATTATTGAATGTAATATAAAGTGAAGAAAATTTTATCTATATTGCATTGTTTTATGTGGAACTGATTTCTTAGAGTATCAGTAGGGCCTTTTTATGATGGTAGGATTGGCAGGATACATTGTGAAGTAATGCTGAATTTAGCTAAAACTGAGTTTTAGCAAGCAAGTAAACAGACTTTACTCGTCTTGTAACACAAGCAATGAAAGAACTGTTAAATTAACAACCAAATTGTTTGTGTATTTGCTTCTGACCTGGATGGTAATCTTTCACTGGTTTCGTGAATTTATTAGACTAACTTTCTCCCTCGATATTTCGGCTAATCTGTAAAGGGCAGCGCCCTCGTGGGATTAATAGTTGCAGTTTCAATTATACTGCCAGTCACACCAAATTTATTTAGTGGAGGATTTGCAGTGGTGAGTGGAGCTCACAAGTTGCTAACTCGAGGTGAGTTATGGTTAGAATAAAGAATCAGAGTCCCAGACCAACATTAATCAAATTATAACAACATTTGTTAATCATTTCCAAATAATATTCAATATAAATCAAAAGTCCGTTTATCATTATACACTTTTCAAGTACCGTTAATCTAGATTATTCGTTAATACACATAGATACACTTCCCTTAGATAAACATGAATATTCCTTTAAGATTACTTACGTTAACTGATTAAGAGAGAAACCATAAATTCATACTTACAACAGAGCTGGACTGGTAAACTTGCAGAGGTTTAGGACTATCATAGCCATGGTCACGAATGGTAGAGTTTGACTTCTTAATAGCACTTCAAGAACTCGGAGGAGAACTTATTTTTTGGTTTCTGACAGGAGTTTTTTAAACCATATTTTCCTAATAGTCTCTCGACCTTCCAAATAGTATCCAGAACTACCCGCAAGTAGTCCTACCACTTTATTGGTCAATCTGTGCAAATGCCCAGGCTAACCCAGAACCAGAACCAAAACTCTCAAGCGATTGGTTACTGTTATGTTTAGTTAGCCAGTTGCCTATCTACTTGTACTAATACACCAGTGTCTTGTAAGAGATATTGCATCAAAGTACCCCTTTTGCTTGTTAACAATGACTTTTTTGTAGCTTTCTTGTTTTCAGACAAACAGAAAAGTCTTAAAAGCAGTCGATGTATAATTCTTCAAAAGTTGTGTATTAAAGTTCGAAGGTACATTTTTTAATTTTGATAGTTGTGTATGCTTGTGACTGGTGGATAGTAAGAGGAATTTCATCTTGTTTACTTTGAAAATATTGCTATACAGTTTTTTTTTGCCTATGTAGTTTTTTAGACCATTAAATAGAGGATTGAACTGTTTTTGTTTTTCAGAAATGATGCTCTTGGCCTCTAATATCCATGTCAGATGCTCTGTCAAGGGTGAACATTTAGTGGCACGACAATGCTAGCTGGCCAACCACTGAATGCATTGCCTTGGATTACACCAATATTATTCTGCCTGGTGCTAGTAGTGCTCTTGGTACTATGTACTTGTTTGGAAAAACCTGAAAAGTACGTGAAATCTAATTTGATTGTTAGCAAGAAAGGAACTAAAAAGGACCGTTTAAAGAGAAAAACTTCAATATTATTGATGTGTTCAAAACTTGTTAGTCGTTAAAGCCATTGAAAATTGTTTTGTATATGTATGATATATCTAGGTAAAACTGAATTAACTTTAGACCTATTTTGGATAGGTCTGCTAGATTACAGAAGATTTGCTCAAGATATTGATTATAAAGTAATACTAAGTGTGTACTAACTGTAAAATGAAGTAATCAGACAGGCCACAAAGTACAATACAAAATTCACACTTGATATTAAAACACTAAACACAGATGCAGTATGTCCTTTTTTTAATATATGTGATAGACTGTTGCTCTGAATAGATACTTCCAGACTAGTTTGACTAGAATGTAATGTTCGTTAGCATTTACCCAGGATGATCAGAGCTACCCATGTGACTGTTCATTCCCATTAAAAAAATATGGGGGACCATAACTTCTAGATATTACCTGAACAGGCACTGAAGGACATTGCTGTTGGCATCTTTACACAATGTGCAGTATTAAGCAATATCCTTCCTGGGTGGAACAGGTATTATCCACTTCAATAACAACAAAGGAACGAAATTAACTTTACAGATTTCTGAAGCATTTGTTATGTGCAGCCTGCACACACACACACACACACATAATTGATGTGCATTTATTGATTATATTAAAAGCAAAGTACAAACAAACAAAGGAATTTGGTGACTACATTTGCTTTTACAGTGTACAGAAACTGAGTGAGGCATGTATGTACGGTGGGTGTGAGTTTGATAAATATAACAAATTAAAACTGGTGTCTTTTTTCTCAACAACCTGTATATTCATACAACACTATTTGACAAATGTATATAATATTCTGTTATCAATTTGTTATTGGCCCTAAATAAACAGATTATCTTATACGTGATATGTGGAAACAATACGTGATACAAAGAAACCATATACACCTTCTCCAAAACTCTTCTCATGCGTGAAAAAGTTTAGCTTTTTTTATTGTTGGAGACAAAATCTTTGTTAACCAGTGGTAACAAAGGGCCAGTTTTGTTTTAATAATGTTTTTTTCTCTTCTTAGAAGCGTGAGTTATGGCACTACAGGAAGACTGTCATTTTTATCCAGTCCGTCTGTCCAACACGTTGAGGTACATTCGTCAACATTATGAGTTTTATATAACTGGTTTAAGAACACTCCATTAACACGAGTTTTATATAACTTGTTTAAGAACACTCCATTAACACGAGTTTTATATAACTTGTCATGTTAATGGAGTGAGTTATATAAAACTCATGTTAATGGAGTGTTCTTAAACAAGTTATATAAAACTCATGTTAATGGAGTGAGTTATATAAAACTCGTGTTAATGGAGTGTTCTTAAAGTTTTATATAACTTGTTTAAGAACACTCCATTAACACGAGTTTTATATAACTTGTTTAAGAACACTCCATTAACACGAGTTTTATATAACTTGTTTAAGAACACTCCATTAACACGAGTTTTATATAACTTGTTTAAGAACACTCCATTAACATGAGTTTTATATAACTTGTTTAAGAACACTCCATTAACATGTTTAGTATTATTATTGATGTATACTTTTTAAATACATCTCTGTTAAGCTGTTAAAAATGTGTTTAATTTTTAGTTCTACTTATCTTCACTTATACCAATAAATCCTGAATAGATTTCAGTTAAATAAGTTTTGGTCAAATTTATTGTTTGTAGTAATATTTTGAGCTTATAACTGTAAACATGAACAGTTATTCCCTTGTCTCATAAAAGTAATGTTAACATAACTTGTTCATTAGATAAAGCTGAACAGTCAATCCCATGTCTCATAAAAGTAGTGTTAACATAACTTGTTCATTAGATAAAGCTGAACAGTCAATCCTATGTCTTATAAAAGTAGTGTTAACATAACTTGTTCATTAGATAAAGCTGAACAGTCAATCCCATGTCTCATAAAAGTAGTGTTAACATAACTTGTTTATTAGGTAAAGCTGAACAGTCAATCCCATGTCTCATAAAAGTAGTGTTAACATAACTTGTTCATTAGATAAAGCTGAACAGTCAATCCCATGTCTCATAAAAGTAGTGTTAACATAACTTGTTCATTAGATAAAGCTGAACAGTCAATCCCTATGTCTCATAAAAGTAGTGTTAACAGAGATGAACTTTTTGGAATTGTTTAATATTCCATATTTGTATTATAGAAAGATCTTAACACAGATCTCATTAAGTAAAGATGAAATTGGTGATTTATTTTATGTTTCTCTTTTTAAATATTCCTTTTAAACTGAATTCTGTGATGTTTTACTGATTGTCTTTAGGTATAAAAAGGAAAAGTTTACCTGGAGATATATTTATTTGTTAATGTAGAAAAAAGTACCCACAATGCCCATTTAAGTGTACTTTTAGATGCTGCATATATATATTTGTTTTTGAAAATCATTTGAATAAATATGGTAGAGAGTATTCCCAAATGTGTCATTTGTAAAATAAGTATCCTTCTGCATTTATATTTTGAATTAAAAGTTTGTTAATTAAAACAACTGTTCCCAATCTATGGGTTATGACTGGTGAGTAGTAGAACAAGACACATTAAAACATATTTTTATTTTAAAATTATCAATGAAATAACGACCCTAAAATGTTTTATAACCAAAAAAAACAAAAAAAACTGGATTTTACTGAAAATTACTAGAACAACTAAACATTGGTAAAAGAAAAGAAAACTACCCGGTAGTTACACAGGTGTTTGGAACCCCGGAATTAAATATTGTTTTTGGTGTATTTTAGGGGATTGGTCACATGACAGTTCCTTCAGCTGATGACGCTATACACATATCACTGGATCCAAAAGCAAGGTATTTCTTTTGTTCAAATAAAATGTTATATTCCGTATTTAAATTCAATTCGTATTGGTCACCACCGATAAAAGCTGATGTTATGTATTAATTGAAATATTTTAAGATAACTAAAATTAATTAATAAGTAACATGTACGTAAGTGGTTGTTAAGATGTAGAAATCTTTATAAAGATGATTGTTTATGTTTCAGAATTATTGTTATAAGCTGCACCGTCCTTACAGACAGATATAAAACTATACTGATGTAATTACCCACAGAAAAGTATTCGTTTTATAAGAAAATGTTGAGAATGACCATAACTTGTTGTTAAGATGTAGAAATCTTTATAAAGATGATTGTTTATGTTTCAGAATTATTGTTATAAGCTGCACCATCCTTACAGACAGATATAAAACTTTACTGATGTAATTACCCACAGAAAAGTATTTGTTTTATAAGAAAATGTTGAGAATGACCATAACTTGTTGTTCAGATTCCCTTAAACGTGGTACAACTCTACTATCATGCTCTGTAGGGAATAAATGAGCATTGATACATGATGAGATAGGTAGACTAGTAGTGTTGAGGTGTATGCAAGATTCCAAATTGCTATGAACTACATTAATTAGAGAGCAATCTTGTAGGTTGCTGGAAGTGTGAACAACTTTTATATTTGAAATTGTTGCATAGCTTGGTTGCAATCTCTGTTGCAAGTAAGATCACATCCGAAATCCTTTAAGTAAGTATCACAATAAATAAGATCACATAAGAAATCCTATTAGTATCACAGTAAGTAAAATCACATCAGAAATCCTTTAAGTAAGTATCACAGTAAGTAAGATCACATCAGAAATCCTATTAGTATCACAGTAAGTAAGATCACATCAGAAATCCTATTAGTATCACAGTAAGTAAGATCACATCAGAAATTCTATTAGTATCACAGTAAGTAAGATCACATCAGAAACCCTATTAGTATCACAGTGTTACAAATGTTTACTTATTGGCTTATTAAAAATTCAGAAATCATATTTGTAACAAATTCATCATAACCTTACAGCATCCAATATGACTACATGGCATCGTCTTGCATAATGTAAAGACACATACCAGCATTGGAATCTTGATGGTCAAACATGGTTCCAGAAGCAGGCAAGATTATGATGGGGTTGTTAGGGTGAGAGCTGAGACCTACTTGTGAATTGTATCCACATCTAAGTACCCATGCGTATAAAGAGATTTTAATTGAACATGCTTTAGAGATAATGACATAGTTTTAGGGCTGCAAACTAATGTGTTATCACAAATGCATCTTGGCCTCTTGCACAGAGCACGTGTGGCCCATGTTTGATTAGAAAGGCCTCTTCGGTGTCTTTGGAACAATCTGAGGATTAATTTGAAAGGTTAGGCTAGAACAGTCCAGTCATCATTAATTGGCCAAACGTTTAGAATAAAAATTTCACCATCACAGTATGTCTTTTAGAATAGCAAAAGTTATTTTGGCCAAGGATGTCACTCTACCATATTAAGACCATACTCATTAGGAACCTCTTACCGTTAGCTTATCTACGAAATAAAGTAATTATTTTCAGAATATTAGCTTAGGTTATTTTAATGAAATATTAATTTGTTGCAGAACCAAGGATCGGGCATTGCCTGATGTCCCATTGGTAACTATCATTCGTAGTTCTGCAAGTGAATTAAACCCACATTTGGTGCCTGACAACTGCTCTGAATGCAATGAAACTGTTGCCAAGGAGATGGTAAACCCTGTTAGACCAAAAAACCATCGACGCAACAAAACCAAGACTCCAACACCACCGGGAATGAATGGACTAACAGTTTCTGTAAGGAAGAAACTTCAATGATTAGAACTTGGTTTTTTATAAGTTTGTACAACGTTAAGGATTTGTTGTGATCTGTAGAAACAAAATATAGAGTAGAAAAATGCATTCAAATTGATGTCATAAGGTGAAAAAAAAATACAGACATCACGTTTTATTATAAGTGCCCTCTAGTGACAAACAACTTCATTTATAGGTATAATTGTTTTTCTTTGTTAATCAACCCTGGACGTTTATTTTTTTTTATAAGTACAAGTTTAAAGTATAGGTTTGATGCTAAAATAAAATTACAAACCTTGCATTAATCACAAAATGTTTGTGGAGATCAAGTTTATTTTATTAGCCAACACGTAGCCATTAAATGAGAGAAACATTCAAATCTTTAACTCTATGTTTTACACTAATAAAACTAAAGTTGATTAAAAACGAAAATTAAAATGTATGAATCCCTTAAATTTTAGGTTTTTTAGTGAAGAAATTTACTAAATAAGACCTCAACCTTACAAATGTACTAAGTTACACCTCGACCTTACAAATGTACTAAGTTACACCTCAACCGTACAAATGTACTAAGTTACAGCT